AGAGAGAGAGAGAGAGAGAGAGAGAGAGAGAGAGAGAGAGAGAGAGAGAGAAAACATACCTGGAACACAAACCACAAACTTTGATATTTAGACAAGAAAATAAAGTAAATTTGAATAAGAGTGTGTAAATGACAGGTTCATTCACACAGTTTTTTTAATGCAAATGTATTTTTTTCATTAAGTAAATTCAATTTATTTGGAGTTCTGCAGTTATGCATGTATTGTCGCATATTTTTTAAAAGTTGAAGCTATTATTATTCGGAATGCCACTGTAATGGACTTACAACTTGTTCAGGCTGTACACTGCATTTTGCATAATGACCACTGGAGACAGATACCAGCTACACCATCATGTTAAGTATATGTTGCATTATTTTATTTTCTGCTTTTCAAATATGCACTGGTCAATGTGCCTGCATCAGATATAAATCCCGTTTTCAAGAAATGTGAAAATATGGATCTAATAATGACTTGACTCAGATGTTGACATATTTTCTTGAACTATTTACATAGCATAGTATGGGTAGCTTCAATTTAGATATTCTCAATCAAACACAGTGGCCTGACGGCAGGACTGTCTTTATCTGGTACTGTGTTTTAAATGGTCTAAAGTAAACTGAGAGGCTAGAACATGAAACGATATGCCTTTTTAAAGAAAAAGCCATCTGTCATACATGTGTGGTCTGGACCTACTTCTGTAAAGTGAGTTGATTTTCACATTACATTGACTTCATTATATTGACATGTGTATTGATTTGAAACAACCTTGTGTGATGAAATGTCAGAATAAGTAGTGCAACAGTCAAACTCTCAATGTAATCTCCGAAAATTAACTCAGCAAATGGTTTAAATAGCAATGGGGGCACTGGGGGTATCCTGTAACCAAAATTAAAATATGAAGATTTGTAACAGTTCAATAATTAAACTAATTATCCTGTGAGGATAAATGATGATTGCTTGACATTGAAGATTCCTCTCTGGCAAACTCTTTCGTTCATTCCCTCTGTCGACCCCTCCCGTGCTCTGTCCCCATCCAAATGCTCTTCTCCAATCACCCTAATTTTGGCTACAATAATTACCACACACCCAGGATATAAGAATCTCCACTAAAAAGAGCTTTCTACTCCACAGGAGTTCTGATTAAGCTGTGCACTAAAGCTTTGCATCAGAAAAAAGCAAAAAAGAACCGGAGAATTATTGCAGTCAGTGAAACAATGTATTATACTGTATGTTAGCTAGTGTGCACTCAATGTCAGCATTAGCATTTGAAAAAAAAAAGTAAACTAAAATTCTAGAAATTCTTTGGGAACAAAACTCATATCTCTGTGAAAGGTAGTGTGATACACTACATTTGATTGAATATTATGAAATTAAAAGCATGTGTGTTTCAAAACCTTATTTTGGTAATTTAGATATGTAAATAAAATTACATATTTTAAAGTTCAAAGACATATTCTTTAGCTCAGACTCAAACTTGGTGAAGCATTTTTTTTCTTCCCCTCATACCATAAACACTCACTTTTAGCTCATTGTCTCCTTGAGAGTTTGCTCTAAAATGCCCAATCTGCACTGATTGGTTAGTTTGTTGCATATTAGCAGTTCCATGAGAGCATATCCTTTGTTGTTTGAAATGCGCCAAAGTAGCTACTTGACATACATTATTCAGAGTTCTTCAGAGTAATGTCAAGTACACAAAATATTTTTGATATAATAAATCCCTGGACAACAAATAAAGGAATTCTCACAGCTCCGTACAGACAAGAGGTTACTTATTCAAAAGACAATAACTGTATGAAGAGTACAACACTTCTGTAACCCCGGTTCTCTAGAGAAACATGAGGTGTATTACTGTTAGATATGCCTCCCAGTGCACATCTCAGTGTGTCCATCTTGACTGACTGATGACTGTAATGTCTGTGTTTCCCACCCTTTAAGTAGCTCACACAGCCTCATTAAATTTAAGCACCTACTCTTGCTTCCTTCATCGGTACAGTCCAGTGAGGTTTTTTCACTTATGCTACTCTACTATCCTGGGCTACCCAAGTAATCTTGTGCTCCCATTCAAAGTGCATGTTTTTACTAAGTCACACAGTAGTATGTAGAAGCTTGAGTATTGCCAGAGGTTGTTAAGTTAAACAAATATCAGGATTAAATGTGTGGCCCCCTGATTCTATGAGGGCCCAGAATTGAGCATTGCACACGGAACACTAGAGGCAGAGAGGTCCAACTTATTAAAACAGGCAAAAAGTAAAAGAGTTAAAGAATGAGCTGCTTGCAACTGCTCAAAACCCTCCGGTGGAAGACTTATTGAAAGACCCTAAAAATAGGAATCATTTGTTTAAAAACAAATAAGCACCATCTACCATAACACCACAAATATATTTAGCATGGAAAGTAGATAAATGTGTGTTTGGAAAGTTATTTCTTTGTTGTAATATTGCTTCTTGGCAATAAATCTTATACTCGGAACCTGATTGGCAGCACTTGGGGGTACATGAAGCTCAAAACAAGAGTCAATAGCAACGGTACTGTTAGAAAGCCTGCTTGTCTGATTTATTAAATATTGCTGGCAGAAAGATGTCGAGATGAAATTCTGCAACCAGTGGAAATCCCATACCTCCACAGTCTGGGATCAAACTTTATCCTCCAAAATGACAACGCTTGCCCCCACAGAGGCTGGTTTATCAAAGACTACCTCCAGAATTTGGGAGTAGACGGGTAGGAATGGCCTGCCAGCAGTCCTGACCTCCACCCCACTGAACATTTGTGGGATCATCTTGGGCTTGATGTTTGTGCCAGAGTGACCAACACAACCACATTGGCTGACTTGTGACAAAGGCTGGTTGAAGAATGGGAAGCCATCCCACAGCAGTGAGTGCCCAAGCTGGTGACCAGCATGAGGAGGAAGTTGTGGCTATGTATGGTTCTTCTTCACACTGCTGAGGCTCCTGTCTGTTAAATGAATAATTTATTTACTTATCTTTTTAATAAAATGTCCTGTTTCTTCAAACTTCAACCCAGTCCACTAAACGCCAAACAAGTCAACGTCAGAATAAGCTGCTTGACAATGACAGAGAGGATTTGGCATATTTTTTCATGTGCGCAACCCACATACTAAGCTCTGCTGCTCAACCCACAAATGCATGTTCCTTATGAATTTTACACCATTTTACACCATTTTAAAAGGGAATTTAACAGGCGGTATAAGATTTATTACCAAGAAGCATTGTTACAACAAAGAAATAATCTACCAAACACCAGTTTCCTTTCTTGTTGTGCAAGGTTTATCAACCAACGGTGCTTTTACTTTTACTTCCTACTTGTTCAGGCTTTCTGGTTCAACATCTGGTGATGCACTCATGGCAGGACATGCCTGCTAATGCCTATAATTAATCCTTGTCTGTTCCATTAAATATTGCTGCCAGCTATAAAAGAAAGAAAATTTCTTTCAGAGTAAGGAATACAACATATCACACTTTATCATTTCGAAACCAGCTTTTATATTGCAGGTGACTGTTTTATTCATTCCTATGAGACAGTTCAGATCAAATAATCATGATTGCTTTATTTTGACTTGTTTAGAGCTAAACTGTAAATTTTGTATTGAAAAATATACCGTATTTGCTAAGACGCAGTATGCAACACTTGAGTTTCTAAAAGTGCCAAGAAAATCGTATCTGTCTGTGTGTTCTTTGTCTTTTTCTTTAACATTTTGCAGTAATGACCTCTGAAACAGAACATTACCTGCCAGTGCGTAGAGATGTTTCCAAATGTGTGCCCTCTCCAGGTATGGCTGTAGGGCCTGAGTCAAAGCCTTGGGAACATTATTCAACCAGGAGAAGAGGTTGAACAAAGCAACTATGAAGTCATCTCCTGCCATGCAATTCTCTCTGCACATTTCTAAGCCGCTCTCCTGGCAAAAATCTGAAAACACAGAGTCAGCCTGGTGAGACACCTGCGCGAACTGTACAAATACATGTGTGGATATTCAAAGCGTTGATGAATTTTTAAAATCTTCTGGAGGACCTGACACACACAAACAATCAAATGCACTAAGAGATGAAGCTTACTCACATGGAAGCATATGCTCAAGAAGTGTAGGAGACTGTAAAATATGTTTTTTTTATTATAATTCTTAAAATAACTACATAGTTGTGTATGAAAAGATGTAAAACCCTACTCTATAAAACAACATCTTGATTTCTCGGAACAAAAACACATACTGGAAAATGTCAAGGCTGCCTTGCCTGACACATGTTAACAGAAAGGGTGAACAAAAGACAGAGTGGAATAGAAGGAGAAGAAAAACCCACATCTGTGTTAGTTGGAAAAAAAAACTTGAAAAAGAAACAGATTTCAAAGCCCATGGCTGTGGGATCCATGGTACATGGAGACAGGAAGTGAAAAAGGAAGAGGTTTTGACAGGGTGTCCTTGTGGGGGTTGCTGTCTGAGCAGAGGGCTGAGGATGGAGGTGTGTGTGTGTGTGTGTGTGTGTGTGTGTGTGTGTGTGTGTGTGTGT